AGGCTAGGTTAGACTGTCAGACTAGGGCCTGGGAGGCCAGGGTTCTAATCTACACTCAGCTCATTGGGTGGCCTTGAGCCAGACATTGCCTCTCATCCTTACCTACCTCACGGGGTTCTTGTGGGGATAAAATGGAGAGGTGCAGTAATGTGTATGCCACTTTGATAGTCCTCAGAGGAAAGATGGAATAGAAATGCAATATATGAATGAGTGAATAAAACAGAAGCAACAGCATTTGCTCCTTATCCTTCCTAGAACTGCCACTCACTTGTATTTGAAGGATGCCTATTAATAGGGAACTATGGGAAGAACAGGATACTCACAGGGCTCTATTTAATGGGCAGCCCAACACCTAAATGGGCAGTTAAAGAGAAAAATGGGTAGTTCAAAAATTCAAGTCCGTTGTATTATGTGAAGTGACTGATCACAATGCGAAAAGGAAACTAAGTAGTCACAGAATCATAGAATTGTAGAGTTGGAAGGGATCCCTGAGGGTCATCTAGTCCAACCTTCATGTAGGAATCTCAATTAAAGCCTGTGTGGCTTGCCCAAAACAGTCTCCCAGGCCAAAGCGGGAGGTCTGGTGGGCCAAATTTGGCTGAAAGCCTTATGTTCACCCTAACACACTTTACTGGAACCCTGTGCAGAATTTCCATTTTTGTCTCTTGATGCAAACCTAGACTTAGTCCAAGCTCCTTTGGAACCCCAGACCTTTGATGAAGCACACCCATTTCTTCTCCCCTTCCCAAAGACACTCCCTGTGGGTTCCACAGCTACTGCTGGATGCTTCTTGCGTGATGCTTGACCAGAACACTCTTCTGCATTAGCATTGCCTGATTATCTTCTCCCATTCTGTGGAGGCACCTAAATGTCACAGAAGGGATTCTAAGCAAGAAGGGATGTGCGAGGAAAATGCACTTGTGTGCTGTATTACAAATTACAATTGCACACCAAGTGGGCAGTTCTAAATTTTTCATTAAAATCCCTTGCCAACATATGAGCTTCCAAGCAGCATCCGGTTGGCCACTGTAAGAACAGGATGCTGGACTTGATAGGACTTTGGTTCTGATCCAGCAGGACTCTTCTTACGTTCTTAAAAGTCACGGGCATCTCCAGTTAAAGGACTTAGATGGAGAGTGATATGATATGAAAGCAATACGAATGGTATGCTTTCTCTGGCTGTGGAGGTACCAGTTTCTGGGCACAAGCTAGCAGGGATTTTGCTATGTTCTTATCCCCTGTGGGCCACAGTGGGAGCAAACAAATAGGTAACTATAATGACGAGGAGCAGGAGCCAGGGGCTCTTGATGATGGCCTTCCTGTTAGGGCGTGAACCTTGGAAGATGCCTGTCTAGGCCATCTCCTGACATCGCTTGGCATCAGTTGCTGCTTGGAGATAACTTCTCCCCCTCCTTTATTTTCTGATCAGTTTTCAAGCAAAGAAAAGAGAGTGTTTAATCTTTGGGAAGGCATGCCTGCAGTTCACCTTCAGAGATATAGCCAGAGGGATGTGGTGTTTGAACAACATGATTCAGTTTCAGTATAGGCTACGCAGCTTGCCAGAAAAGAAAAGTGTAAGAGGCAGAGAGAGAAATCATACCATACCTGTATGGGTGTGAGTGAGCACTCAGAAACTCCCTTTCCTTGACCTACATTGGGTTAAACATCTACAGATGTTCCTCTGTTCTTTTAATTCTGAAATTAAGGGTTGGTGGCCCCCCCCAGAAAAGCTTCTTTTTTTCTCCTGGGGGATCAGTAGGCAACAGGAAGTGTTTCTCTTATTCCTTGGCCTTTGGGATACCACAAGCTTCTTTTTCAGGTCTGACACATATAACTTGATTTGGTCTTCTGTTAACATTTGCACCAACAAACCCTTCTTTCCAACAAATATTAGAATACCTAGGGAGATGGATTGGATAGTAGAGGTTTAATGGTCCTGCAGCTGGCTGGACAGGTACACCTTTTGTTAGTCAAATATGGCAATACGTTTCCTTGGGAACCAACTGTTAGACTATAGTTGGGTTCTCTTCTGAAAAGAGAGAACCACGGGAATCAAGGATCAGCTTCCCTGCTCTCTTAGTTGGAGACTGTATTGTTATGACTTTGTGCGTGCGGGACAGCTATGATCTCTGGATCCAGTAAGTGTTAGCATTTAATCAAGGCTTGGGGTATTAAACAGGGTGCCAGACACTGAGTCCCTGGGACCTAGCAAGTGTTAAGGGAGCCAGCGTGGTGTAGTGGTTAAGAGCGGTAATCTGGTGAACCGGGTTTGCGTCTCCGCTCCTCCACATGCAGCTGCTAGTCCTTGGGCTAGTCACACTTCTCTGAAGTCTCTCAGCCTCACTCACCTCACAGAAGTGTTTGTTGTGGGGGAGGAAGGGAAAGGAGATTGTTAGCCGCTTTGAGACTCCTTCGGGTAGTGAAAAATCCAAACTACTCCTCCTCCTCTTCTTCTTCTTCTTCTTCTTCTTCTTCTTCTTCTTCTTCTTCTTCTTCTTCTTCTTCTTCTTCTAGGCTAATCAAGCCAGGCTAGCTGTGTTCGGGTGATTGTGTGAGTGATAGGCCATTATGAAAGCATAGGAAAGGAGCCCTGTGTGTAGGGCTGCCACACGTCTGCCATTACCAGGATTTCAAAGGCAGAATTGATGTCTGGGAGGAATTTTTGAAAGGTGGAGCTTTGTCCTGGATCTTAGGCAAATCAATTGAAAAACCACGGGTTTTTGGTGTTTTAATCATAATAATCATAATAATCATAATCATAATAATAATTTTAAAAGCCCAACAACTTTGGGGTTTGTCTAAAAAATGCTCAACAACCTTCGGGATGTTCTGGTTTTTACTTTTTGAAATATGGCAACTCTACCTGTGTGAGACTTGCAGGTAGTGAGAAGGACAAAAGCTAGAGTTCAGGGTTGAAAGTGTGTGTGATGTGACCTAGAGGAAAAAGCTTCAGGGTGGAAAGGCAGAGAGATAGAGAGAGCCATGACTGATTTCTTCTTGCATCCAAGGCAGTGGCTATGGGAGAAACAAGCCCAGATGTCTAAACGAGTACCTATTCCTATATAAAATATCTGAAGGAGCAAGACCTTGTCCTATATAAATGTGTCTTTGCATTAAGATTGCCAGAAGAGGCTCTTTCCCATAACTCATCATTAGGAGAAGTGTATGCACACTTCTCCGAATGATGATGAGAGGCTTTCTCTGCGGTGGCTCCTCAGTTATGGAATGCTCTTTTTTGGGGCACCAGGTTAAATCCTTTCTATTTGCCAAGGCATTTTAGATTATAGTATTTTTAGCTGATTTAAACAACCCCCCCCCAATTTTATTGTATCATGGAATATGTTTTATAATGAATTTGTAATTTGAACTTTCTTTGTATACCACCCTAAAATGCATTTAAAAAATAAAATAAAATAATACAAATTAAGTAAAACTGAAGCAGATATCTGTCACATCTCTATCAGTGAGTGCTGTTTTTTGTTTGTTTGTTAAAAAAAACATTTTTATACCTACCCTTTGTCAGTTCTACAAGGGCAACTCAAAATAAAATAAAATTTCAAGAAAATCAACACACGAAGCATATCATACTCCACAGTATATTAGTTAGTATATTAGCCAATTGGCACCCAGGCTCAGTATTAGCAAACTATGGTTGCACATGTAGTTAAAGCAGCCCTATTGATGCACACACAACAAGGTATTAGCAGGATTCCATAAGTACACAAAATCTGTGGGGGTGGGGTCACTAACTTTTTAATCTGAGAGTTGTTGGGGAGGATGTAATAAAAACCACGTCACAATGACCCTGAAGGGTTGGGCCGCATAAGTTGTGCTTATGGCGGTTCCCTGCACGTGTCCACTGGGACATTAGCCACAAGAAGAATGTGACGTGATGAACATCATTGCAAAACCCTCTGCATAGGACAACTGGCTGTACAGAATTCCAGGTTTTGCTCATAACCTATGACTCAGGGCTAGCTTACTCAGTCAAAAACAAGCAAGTGGTAAAGCTCTTCCAGAGCAAGAACTAAAAGGGGGGGGGGGGAGATGCACATACTAGACTACTGCTATGCACTCTGTGTGGGGCTTCCCTTGACCTTAGCTCCAAAGCTGGTACAGATTCAGCAACTAGGTAGGTGACTGGAGCATCCCATCAACACCAGGGAACACCTCTGCTCAGGGAACTCATTATCCTCATCAAACCTTTTATTGGCATCACATACAAACATCCAAAACAAATCAATACAGAATTGCCACTTCCCCAGTGGCACAAAACATTTGCTAAAAAAAAGGAGGCAGAGCAGTCTATCGTCACATCTCTAGGTCTCCAGGGAGATCAGACATCTGCAGTGTGTTTCGATGACAAAAAACCAAATAGAGATATTTAGCCACTAACTTGGTGAGCTCCTGATCATTTCCCAGTAATAGAAAACGTATGACCTCCAACTCTGGTTTCCATTTGGGGATACAGAGTTGATCTAGAAATTGCTGACGGAGATCAGCATACAGTTTACGAACCATATGTGTAAGGGTTTCCACCAGGTGGTCTTCACATGGGCAAGTTCTTTCTCCTTCCACCCTGCCTGAGAACCTTCCCCAAAGGAGGTTTGATGGATTTGAATTAAACCTGGCCAGCGAAAATGCCCTTCTTTCTTGAGGGCTAAGCAGAAATTCAAGGTAATTGTGGTTAGTTTCATGTGCCCAAGAAAGTTGAAAATAAAGAGGGGAACATGTTTTCTCTGCTGCTACTGTTAGTTCTTGGCGTTCAATATTCCACAACCTAATTTTTATAATAGCCTTGACAGATGGTAGGGACATCGATTGCAAAAGTTTCACTGACAACCCGAGTTGCTGTACCTTCTTGTTAAACTGTTGTAGCCCTGGGGAAAGAAAGGGGTCTAGCAAAACTTCGCTGAGGAGAGGATCTTTATCTGATCTAAGGAAGATGTTTAACCAGCATAGAAGAAATCTCGCCCGGGCAACAGTCTCTACCTTGTGTTGGATGTGAGGGCAATCTGGCTGTGACATCTGTCACCCCATTGATCGCCAGGGTTGATTCGGCTGATCTGGCTGGCTAGGCGGGTGTCCCCTTCCTCCCTCACCGCTCCATGTGTGTTCCTCCTGAAGCTGCGCACTCGGTGGAAGAGGACGACTATCCCAGATAGAAGGAATGTACCATTCTTCGGCTCAGGGAACTGCAATGCCAGTATTGCTACCAGGCACAGTTCTAGGTTTTGCTTTTAGCAATAGCAGCGCTAAACAACTCAAAACCTGCTAACCTAACAGACTGCCTCAACTGCATATTTACCTGCCTGACAATTACACCTTAGATGAGGAATTGCAATGAGGACCACATGCCCCAGAGGTACACTTAGTATGAGACCAGGCTTTTAGTATTGCCGCTCCAGCCCTCTGGAATCAGTTACCAACTGAAATGAGATATAAATATATGGTGTCTTGATGTTTAGGCAGCTGTGAAAGATATTTTTGTTTAGGAAGGCTTACCCTGAAGTGTGACCCAGTTATTTTATAGAATGTTAATTGAGCAATTGTAGATATGGTTTTGCTGATTTGAGTTAATTGTGCCAGCAATCTTTTGCATTTTATTTCATTGTACACTATTTTCTGTAGCATTTGGATTTGAAGCAGCTTATATACCTGCAATTAAATAAATACTTATGGGCCCATGTTGCTAGTAGGAATGGGAAATAAATTTAGTCCATTTCTCATTTACAGGTTAATATACCTAACTTGTTGTTTCTGAAATAGTGCATGAACTGAAAGACAGGAATATTTTGAAATGCACACTTTTCCAAATTTTGCAACACAGTTCCCCAAACCAGTAATGTGAGTAAAGTGTGCATTTTAAAAAATGTATATATTAGTGCAAACAGCATAGATATTAGGTGACATGCACACTAAAATGCTGACAATTTTTCATGAGGATTAAAAAACAAAATATCACAAACTGATGCTCAGATGTGGCGAACTAATTTAAGATTAGAAAAATGAGAAACCAAAATTGACAGATCCACTCATCTCTAGTTGCTAGTTGCCTGCTGATATGTCTACCAGCCCCTTCTCTCAAAGGTTGCTCAGTGAAGGTGGTTACTCAGCACAGATTTTCCTTTCCTTCCCACCCCATGCATTGCATATACTGCTACTCTCCACAAATGCAGTCAAAACTATCCTGCGCAAGAAATACTATGCTGGCTTGCAACTGCTTTGAAGGCTGACTAGATCAAGGCACAAAACAGACAAGAAACTGAGTTTCTCCTTCTGTGTTTACTCAGCAGTTTCTGTGGGCTTCCAAGTTCTACACAGCCTGCATTGCAGCAGAAGCTTGAGGTAGCCTTGCAGGACCAATTAGAGGCCTGAATTGCAGCAGTGTAGCAAATTATGTTTGCATTTCAGTGCTGCCTAGGCATCATCTCATTTGCAGATTTAGCGTAATTTATTTTATGAGATATGAATCAACAAGCGTGCATTATGTAACAGGTGTAGGCCTTTTTATATTCCCTCTCGGTTAGTGATGATGATTGCAGTCTATTATTCTTTGATCCTTGGTGGGTGGAGTTTCTGTGAAACCAGTTTGACTCCCGATTATACAATTATTTCTTCTACTCATGCGGCTGAAACAGTGCTCTCAGAATCCTCCTGGGTACAAAGCACACAAATACTGGGAAACAGTCAAACGTTTGAAAATTCACTCCTGTGCCAGTTGTCACTTTGTGGTGAATGGTTCATGAGTAGCACAATCTTTGCACTCAACCTGATCATACACTCTGGAGCCAGGAATTGGTGGGTTGACTGTGACATGAAATCTGTCTGGTTTGACAAGGTTGCCCTTGCAATATATGTTCCACCCCAGCCCATAGTGGGGAGCTGTGAATTTTCAGCATGTTAGTGAGTGATGCAATTAGGTGATTATAGACTCTTTACTTCAAATTGCAGTATGTCTGCCCTGATGTGTTTAAAGATCCTTTTGCTCATTCTGCTGAGTGGGGCCCTAGGCTTTTTGCCCCAAAGTCCTGTCTTGACAGCTTCACAGATGACAGCTCTTGGGTATCTGTGAAGTCTTAAATGCTGTAACATGGGGCCAAGACAGTTGTACATGAAAAAGAGACTCACAACACTGTGAACACACTTTGAGATGCTAAACAATGTCTCTGTGCACAATTAAAACACACTGTTCCACACCCAGAATTCTGGGAAAAGTAGTTTCTTAAGGTTACTGGGAATTGTAGCTCTGTTGGGGGGGGGGGGACACAACTAATCATGATCCAACATGGTAGGAACAGAGAATGTGACTGTGTGTTCAATTTTTGAAACACCTCACAAGTGGGTGGGGAAGAAGTTCCTAGAACTACATATTGCAAGGAGCTGCATTTTTTAGATTCCTGGTCAGGTCCCAGAACACTGTGAAGATCCTGATGAAACCGGAACAGGGCAGTTAAAATGTGCCTGCACTCACATTTTGAAACTGCCTGAGGATAAGGACTTAAGCTGAGCCCTGCTGAATCAGAGCAAATGTCCATCAGTTCTGGCATCCTGTTTCCAACACTGGTCAACCAAACCATCTTTGAGAAGTGCCCAAGCCTTCCTTCACTGTTGCCCTGCTTCAGCTACCAGTATACACACAGACTCTGAACTATGTAGTTGTCTTAGCTGATAGCCAACAAGCAGGACCTGTGACACAATACTGCAGCACAAATTGTTCTTGTTCAGGGCCCTCCGTTTTCAGGGATACACAATGTCATCCCCCCTCCCCAGCCAGTTTGCCATTTCCCTACAGTCAACACCCTGCGGCTGCTGAGCATGCTCAGTCTTCAATAGGCTACTTCCCTCCCCTCTTCGTTTTTTTTGTTTTGTTTTTTTTTGTCTTAGGATTTCTTCTTCTTTTTTTTACATCTGCAAAGCTTGGGTTCCCCCAAGCCTGCCAGTACCTCCTTCTTGTGGTTGGGTGGTGCTGTTTGGGCAACATAGGCAACAGCACTCACACCCGAGGGAATAATAAAAGGAATTATAGACCTATATTCCCATGAATATCTCTCATCCGCTTTACAGCCTTCTAAACTAATGGGCACAGCCCACATCTTGTAGCACTGGATTTTATATGCCACTGATATGTTATGTGAAAGTACTTTCTTTTGTCTGGACTGAATCTACTTCCAAACAGTTTAATGGGATGAGCTCCATGTTCTAGTATGGGGGGGAGAGGGGAGGGAGGAACCCTTCCATCTACCCCTCCTTCCCGAAAGCATAACGTCATAAAAAGAGGCCTTTCTCTGTTTCCCTCCCCTAAGGGGGGCTCAGAGTGTGATCCCAAGGGGCATGGCCTTTTCAGTTGTGGCTCCTCCGTGTGGAATGCTCTCTCCCCTGAGGCCCACCTGCTGCCTTTGTTGACATGTGCGTGATTCCAAGTAAAGAGTTGCCTTTCTCCCAGATCTTTGATGGTCTGAGTTGATTCTGTTTTACTGCCAGTGTGCTGCCAAAGCTTTCTATGGCTGTAATTGGGGGTGGGGTGGGGCATTAGAGAGCTGTTTCCTTGAATGGAGGCTGGGTGCAGGACAAACAACTCCCCCCACCAGGAATGACATGGGAAAGGGTGGACAAGGCATAAAGCTGTGCGGAGATAAACAACAAGAGGGGACAACTTTTGAGATTTCCCCTCACAGAGCTATAATCCCTAGAAATGGAAGGGACTATGTGATGTATGAAATGTCTCCCCCAGCCCCCCAGCCCCCATCCATGCATGTGCACCCTTGCACAGATAGTTGTGCACAGACTCCGTCTATTTCACACCCTTTGTTTTCTCTCACCTGCCAGGTTTCAAATTGATATTTCACTAAAACAGGGCTTGCATTCCAGCTCTGTAGTAATGGCCAGTAAGTCTGCCTTTACTGCATCAAAGGCATATTTGGGGCAGCATTACCAGTTCTGCCATGCTGGGAACCGAGCCTAGGGGCTGCTGCATGGCACTGCAACAATGACATAGTGAATTGAGTGGAATGAAAGGTGAGAGGTGAGGGGCCACTGAATTTTGACCGTGCACAGAGTGCCACTGAAATGCAAGACCAAAGTCCACCCTGACCTTATACAGTGTTTGTCGACAGTACCTGGTCTTCATCTGGTTCCAGCTCCAACAGACACCCCGAGTGGCACCCCGAACACCAGAGGAGGTGCACAACACGAACTCCCCACAGAATGCAATTCCCAATATGCGGCTGGAATTTTGTCTTAGAAAGATGTGTGTGTGGTGTGGGGGTAAAGGCAGAAACGGTCAGCAAGCAGAATTTTTTTGACACCTCCTTCCCAAGCGCTTTTCCACATATATTCAGCCACTACCGATCTTCACCTCCCACACTGTGCATTTAAAGCGCGATGATGCCACTCGAAAAACAATAATGTCTTCCCCGCAAAGAATTATGGAAGCTGTGGGTTGTTAAGGATGCTGTGAGATGTTAGGAGACCTCCATCACAGAGCTGTAATTGTCTGTGTGGTTTAAGAGTCAAACCCTCTGGTCTTAAAGGAACTTTGCGCTCAAGTTGCTTAGAGCTTTGTGAATTAACACAACAACCTTGAACCTGGCTTGGAGTTGAGCATTTGGGCAGGTTCACATTGGCGTAAATCATCCTTTAGTTGACTAAATGTACTGAATACATCCTGAACGATGACTTACGTAGCTAAGAAGAATTCCTTACTAATCACCTTAACTCCACACCCTGGTGCGGATGGGTATGTAACCATCTTCTGTCCACATCACCTTTCCTTTGCTCTTCATCCTCATTTGTTCAGCTTGTGTTAAATCTTCTTGGCTAAGGCAGAATTTGAAAGACAGCAGTGGGTGGGTGCCCCCCCCCTTGAATGCCATTCAGCATTTCTGGGCATCGTGCCCATCTGTGTCCTTCGACTTGTACTCATTTTAAAACATGGACCAGGAAACAGCAGTGTACTTTGTCACCCAATATTCCTTCTGACTGGCGTTTGCATTGAGTAATTCTTAATATCATTGGCAGTGTAATTGCAGCATTCCAAATGGATCTACTAACTACACACAGAAAAAGAGAATATGAACCAACATAATTATTCCAGGAAGGAGGGGAAACCCAGGTTAACCTTTGCACAGCCCTTTAAAGGTCGAAGTTGTGCCTCTTCACATTCAACTTGCAGTTTGTTTGTTTGTTTGTTTGTTTGTTTGTTTGTTTTAGAATACAAATAGCAGGAAGAGGAGAGGGGAAAATTTAAGCTCGGCTGTGTCACTAGGGAAAATTATTTACTTCCAGGGGGAAATCCACCTGTTGG